ATAGAATAGAATAGAATAGAATAGAATAGAATAGAATAGAATAGAATTATTTATTGGCCAAGTGTGACTGGACACACAAGGAATTTGTCTTGGTGCAAATGCTCTCAGTGTAGATAAAGGAAAAGATACATTTGTCAAGAGTCAAGAATCATCAGGTACAGCACTTAATAATAGTCATAGGGTACAGTAAGCAATCAAATCATACTAGGAAACAGTCAATATAAATCGTAAGGATACAAGTGACAAAGTTACAGTCATACAGTCACAAGTGGGAGGGGATGGACAATAAGGAGTGATGAGAAGATTAATAGTAATAGTAGTGCAGTCTTTGTAAATAGTTGGACAGTGTTGAGGGAATTATTTGTTTAACAGAGTGATGGCGTTTGGGAAAAAACTGTCCTTGTGTCTAGTTGTTCTGGTGTGCAGTGCTCTATAGCGTCGTTTTGAGGGAAGGAGTTGAAACAGTTTATGTCCGGGATGTGAGGGGTCTGTAAATATTTTCACAGCCCTCTTTTTGACTCGTGCAGTATACGGGTCCTTGACTAAAGGCAGGTTGTAGTAATTGTTTTTTCCGCAGTCCTAATTATCCTCTGAAGTCTGTGTCCTGTTGGGTTGCAGAACCAAACCAGACAGTTATAGAGGTGCAGATGACAGGCTCAATAATCCTGATAAGGTAGGCAGTAATGCTGGACCAGCCATTTGATGTAGTTGCCCATAGGTGTCCTTAGCTGCTGGTTAGAGCGGGCCAGTTGCTTGGTAAAACCACAGAACTTTGGGTGAGGAGAAGCGACAAGACTACCTACTAGAACAGAAAGCGATAAACAAATTGGTCATAGGTCTGATGAAATGCAGAGCAGAGCTCTGTTGACAGTGATGGCAGCAAACAAAAATGATTTTTCTGCCGCCATTGCTTTTATACAGAGCCATCCAGGGAGCAATTTTGAAGAGTGGGAAATCTGCTCCATGTAGGTCTCTTGGGTGATTTTAATGAACCACTGAAATTTTTCTGCCAAGCATTTTTCCAATAAAACAATCGTTTTCATCTGCATTGACTTAGATGCCATTTTGGATACTGTACAAATACCAAATGTTGGGCTTTTAGATTTTAACCTTTAGCAAAAATGCAATGATGCATCTTAATATTGGACCATTTACAGGATAATAATTTTGAATGCATCTGCAGAAGAGAACGGTTTTCTCCCATCTCTTTCGATTATTCTCCCAGTGAGTTGCTTCTTGAGGTTTGGCATTTTCTCTGGGTGACTTCTGTTTCTGCTAATTTCAGTATTTGGCAAATAACTACCTCACTTCTGCACATTTTATTATTATGAGGTTAGACTGTCATTTTTCTGTGGGCTTTTACACACTTCTTCACAGTGAGTCATACTTTTCTGCCGTAATTGCTGATAAAGCATCTTCCGTCTGAGGAATGGCAATCAAGCCAAGAGAGCTTATATGTCATGCATTTGAGGTTACATTTTTATCTCCTTGGTGCTTTACAGTAAAGGCAACATGGACTGGTCTACTCCCAGTTGGAAATTTGGCTTATTTTTGGAAGGCAGCCATTTCTGTTGTGTTTTTTGCATACGGTACATGGTTAAGAAAATGCCAGAAGTGCTTGGACCCGAAGATTCATCAGTGTGAGAACTTGGATTCAATCTGAATGTGTGTATGTGTGTGTGTGTGTGTGTGTATTGAAATATGTCAAGCTGTTTGATCAATATTCTAATATTCTGAATGGGGAAGGTGACTGAAAAGATAGTGCCTGAATATGATTTTGTAAACTTCCCCTTAATTGCAACAGGAAGATAAATGCCTTTCCCCCTCCTTTTCTCAATAGCTCTCTTTTTAACTATTATAGTAATTGTGTCACTCTTTTTTTTTTTTTTTTTTGCAATGTGAAATCCTTATACCACAATATAGCTTGGGTCACTTGCTGAAGCTGCTCTTCCAATAAGCACTTTATTGTGGTTCACATGTTCTTGACATATGGAACAGTGAACGTCTGTGATAAAATGAATACTGCAGTATCTAATCACTAGGAATGTGGTACTTCATTGTGCTTTACTTAATGATT